CATGTTCTGACAAATACTAGATTAAGCTGAAAATTCCAAAAGTGCTCCATTTCTGACACAACGCAGAGGCAAGTATTTTGTTTACCGCAACGAATTTAAAGCCAAATAGCAGAGGTGGCACTGCAGTGGAAAGAGAAAACAATAGGTGGGACAATAGTTAGATGAGCATCAGGCTGATTGACCACCTCACAAAGATGCAAGGTTACTTGACAGGCACCTACTGTGTTGAAGAATATTCTGTGCTATGTTCTTCTTTTAATATGTTCCCAAACAGATTTCCCACTCAGAATGCCCTTTGGTCTTCAGCTTACAGTCCTCCCCGTTCTTCCAGTGTACGGAAAAGAGGATCCCTAGCTGTCCAACAGCAAATACCAGTGTGCACTGCACAGGGATTTAGAGCCATAAATACTGTCTGACTTATTCTTTCCCTCAAACCACATCTTGGGATGGGAGGCCAGCATCCTCAGATCGGCTACTCTGCCTACACCCAGTTGGTGAAACAGCGCTGGTTTGAGCCTGTGCTCTGGAGACACAAAATTCCTCATTAAACTCCTTTAGCAAGTGAGATGGGAACCAAAAAGCTTAACAGCAAGAGCAAGGGCGGGATTCAGTGTAATGCAAAGGATGCCAGGAATAACAGGTCCTGTATTTCACCACTACAGGAAGGAAAATATGAGCAATAAATGAAAACCAAGTCATCTTTGCTCTCATATTTGAGCTCTATCACTGTGCCTTCCTCTGTATGCTTTTGAGGTGTTTCAAGCACCCTCTCAGACAGAAATCTGCTGATTCCCACCTATGGGAAGTTCAGGCTCAGATTTACAGGCAGCTCTAGGGAAGATGGTTCCCCACAATGCATGTCTCCAGCACACTGTGAATCTTTCCTCAAGGTGCCTGAAATCAGAAGGTACGTGCTCTACTGTGAGACATTTATAGCTGAGGGAGGACATAGGAGTTATGTGAAGAGTACATCGTGCAACTCCTTTTTTTAGGCATTTGTTTTTTCACAGTCTTCACATCATATAAACTCTCCTGTTCCTCAGTGAGACCTCCAGGACATTTGGTGTTTCTTTTTACTGCATTTGACCCAGGGTCTTTCTCTATTCCACTGCTGCAGCCTGCAGCACAGAACCGTTTCTTTGTAAACTCCAGTCCAGGTCATTGCAAACACACTTGAATATATCCTGAAGAAGCAGGAAAACGTTGGAGAAATAAAAATTCAATCCCACCTCTCTTCAAAGGTCCAATAGTCCCAGTTCTCCTTAGCACATATTCAAATGTAATTTCAGTTGAACTTAAGCACTTAAAGAGTTTTGCTGAATTAGAACTGAAATACTTAGGCTACAGATAATACTTTTTGAGTACAGGTCAAAGAACTAGCTGCCGTCTATCACTTGCAAAAGGAAAACAAGTAATCCCTTTGTTTCTCTACTCGGTTTGAATGATGGATGCTGTTCAATCTTTTGTGACCTTCCTGTGACTTGTGTGTCAGTGTGTCTTTCATGTGTCAACAGAAGACTTGTAAGCTTTGGCCTGTGATAACTATCAGTAAGCAATAGCTGTGGATGGATTATTCCTTTTGTAAGAGATATTTTCAAAGCCTGTGTCATGATGTGCTCATTTTTCCATCCCTCAGCAGATGCTGGCTTGTATAACTGATGAGAAAATGGATTTTGGTCAACCGTTGCAAGTGGCTAGTAATGATGTGTCATATTAGTGCGCTTGGCAACCTCAAGTGCTATGGCTGATGCTTCCCACCAGGCTTGGTCTTGAGTGTTTGTGTACCATTAACGGCTTCCCAATGGCAATCTTTTTCCTACAAGTTTCATTCTCCCTAATTATGGCCCGGGTGATAATTTGTAAACATTGAACATCATGTCTCTTCTTCACACTGTTTGCCACCATACTTACAAGTCGGCCCTGGCCTTATTGTGGAATAATGTTCAAGCTGTCATAGGCAAGGAAGCCAGAAAACACAGTCATGCTTGTTTTCCTAGCCCTTATTTCAACAACTCAGGTCCCACTGAACTCTGTTCACAAAGCACTCCACAGATCTGCACAAGCTAAGACAACATGCTGACATGAAAACGTTTCGTAGGTTGTTTGGTGCATCTCATTTTTCCTTGCTTTATTACGGAAAAGGAAATGACGGCATCCTGCATATCCCATGTAGAGCATGTTTGTACAAGAATACATTTAGTCCTCAGATAGGTCATTTCAGGTTAGGTAACAGCAGAACCATGTTAATTCATATTTCAAAAACTCTGTTGTCAGCAAATAGTAGCCTTTTCCCTTCTTTGAGGAAATATTTGATAGTATAGTGTGGGTTTTTTTTTCCAGTAGGATAGTGCATCTTGTTACTTTGGGCTCTGACAGACTTGTGGTGGGAAATTTATATGGTAGAACCATAGTGATTACTGCTCACGATAGTTCAGTTTGCTTTGCTACCCTGGACTGAAATCCGTGCCAGTTCAGGACCTGATTCCCTGTGAATCAGGTGCTCTGCCATGGAGACAGCAACATCATTTAACAGGACAGGGCAACTGAGAGAAGGAGATGATAACAGCTCCATCCATCCAACTTTAATCTGTTGCTGCAAATCTGCCACAGCACTGGCATCAGCTTCAACAGACTAAGCCCACAGCGGATGCATCTTCGTCAGACTTGTCGATTAACCAATTGCATCTGTAGACAAGATTGGTTACATGCAAAACAGTTATTGAGGTTAACCTCTCTGTCCACAGATTAAAAGTGTTCATAAGTCAGAATTGCTAACCTGAATTAGCTACCTTGAGTTAAAATAACAGAGAGAACAAGTAAATTTGAGAAAGTCAGCAACAAACATACAAATGATCCCTGGGTTGAATTCGAATGGC